GTCATGTGACTTCGCTGACGCAACAATAGTTTAAAATACAGCTTAGGCTGACTCAGATAAATTTGTATGTTAGTTAAAAGGATTAATGCAGTTTATTCATTGTGCAATATCTTAGAGAAAGTCCCAAAAATGTGAATGTATTTTAAGTCTGGGAGTACGGGGCAGTATGCCTTAAGCCATAAGCAGGAGTATTTTATTCAGAGCTGCTTGTCTGTTAAAAACACATATAGAAGTTGTCATCTTTGTGGTGAACAAGGACGTACAGTATACCTAGTACAACAAACAATGAAAAGTGATGAAAGGGTCCATAAGAAGGGTTTATAAGGTCTCCCAGGAAGCCCTGCTATAGAATACAAGGATGAAAAAAAGGAAAAATAATGTTGATGCTAATGAAGATCATTCTAAAAAAAATTAACATTCCGAGACTGAGGATAAAGTAAACTAAAATACAAACGCTCAATTTGCATAAAACTGCTTAAGGAAATTTTTCCACATTCGTTGAAATGTAATTTTCTAGCATACATTTGTATGAACTCTACCTTCACAGATAAAACTAGTCAGAAAAATAAAGAAAACTGGAGATTATGATAAGGTTACTGCCAGAGAAATGCTGAAAGTCAATCTTACAATTGAATAATAGTGAACCTAGTGGCTTGGCAAGATCAAACTGGTATTAATTATTCAGTGACGATTTTATTTTCTTGTATGTTAATTCAGAAGAAAGTAGTCTACACTGATTCATCAAATATTGGCACATTACATAAAATACTGGCCACCAATGTAAATGCATTCGTGAAGTCAAACAGTTTTATAATTATGCTTTTTGATTACTGTTTTTTTTTCTGACAGAGCTGATTCTATTGCAAAATTTTAAGGAAAAAAAACGAGTTCAGCTAGACATGAAATTATTTATATAAATTCTTTATCCCCAGGTAAGCTCTTGTTTTTAAACCACAAGTACAATTAATTTATACAACTTCTAAAGATTTAGTAGCTCTAGAAAAAGTTGCATGTATCTCTATGTTATTGTAAATATAGGATGATAAAGAACAGAAGTTACTCACTTCAATAAAACTGGTATCTTGTGGTTTGTTTGTTTGTAATTAAGTACAAAGCTACACAATGGGCTATCTGTGCTCTGTCCACCACAGGTATCAAAACCCGGATTCTAGCGTTGTAAGTCCGCAGACATACCGCTGTGCCACTGGAGGGTGGTATCTTGTGGATGACCAACAAAGCAGAGAAGTTAGGCCCGTCAAAAACCGAAAGTTCTCGGATCTTGGGCTTGGGTGTACATTTCCCAACGAATTGCGACAGTTGAGTCGCGAAGAAAGAGACAAGACACAAATTCTACAAACAACAGACATTTAATGACTCATAATTAACATTATAAAAACAGTACTTTACTAACACAGTATACAGCAATACAATACAACGGGCAAGTGGTCGTGCGTGCTTTAAAGATTTAAATAGAAATGGTAGGTCCAGCAAGGGCTAATGAAGACTAATAGAAAAACAATACTGTTGGTCCATCTGTTTCCCTGGTCCATCTGGTAAGTAAAACTGAGTACAATGAAACCACAACATAAAAATAAACTTAAGTTAAATTAATATAATCTCACTTTAATCTATGTAAAATACACTAGAAATATGAACATTCCATTTAGCTAACAAAATAACTTTACTTTAAAACGACTCTAACGACGGAGTAGCCATCGCTCCACTGGCTATGCTTCACGCTTAAAATCAAACGAACAGTATAACTCGTTCGGATATGGCGAACTTAAAAAATCTGAAGTGCTGACGAGAACCTTAATCGCTTACTTTAAACAGAAGTGAAAGATAACGGATGAACCTAAACTTCGTTTACGTTAGGCAAACGCCTAACACTGCACGGAAACTTTAAGAATTCTTGCTACGTTAAATAAAGGGAAAATATCAATCAAAACCTGCATGACTTCTGCTGAACAAATGAACTAAATGAAAACTGACACGAAAATCTTCTCTCCCAAACTCCAACACAGTTTTAAACATTTCAATAAATTCTCAAGAAAACGTTAATTGGTTCTTGTTAGTGTTAGATCAGTTGACCAACAGGCAGTAAAAATCAAGGGCAATTCCATTCGAAACTATTATCTGATTCTTTGTTATTTATGTTAATGAATCAGACAAGTAGGCTACTTATCCTTACTTAACCTTAAGGAAAATAAAATACAATAACTCATTTAACCATCTCCGAGTTCAACAGGGGAACGACGAAAAATAACATAATTTTGAAAATTTAATTTTTCAACTAATAAGATGGAAAGCTTATAGTGCTCTTCCGGACTACAAAACCATGAACTCGCTGGACATGAGATATTATCGAATTCATAAGAAAATGCTAATTATCCTCTGAACCGTGGATAATGTTCCTTTATGGTTATCATAACATTACGAAATTGTTAATATTTTTTTAGTATTGCCCTGAAGAGAACAACAGACATGTTGATGCATTGGGAGTTAAAAATATTGAGAACATCAAGTAACACGATCACTTTCGAGTTTAAAAATCATATTCACAGACTTATGACGCATTTAAGTGGTAAAAGATTAAGTTATGGATGCTCATTTCAATGGCTCTATCATTAGGTTTGCCCTTAAATGGGAAAAGTGAAGTATAAAGATCACTTAACGCAGACAGTAGTGTCCTGGAGCCCACAGACTAAGATTCAGTTTTCGATCATGCATTGAAAAATTAGTGATATAAAATATTATATTCCCTTTAAAAACTGCTTTTATTCGAGTTTAATGCAAGAGTTGGTTACCAATACATATTTTAGTGATAAATAAGTAGCTTTGAATAGCATGAGGTGTTTGTATATCATAACTTTTGATTTAATGTTTTAAATTTTCAACCGATTAATTTTGTTCTGTTTGCTTGGTGTTATGCACAAAGCTACACACGGGTTATCTGTGCTGTGCCCACCATAACATCAGTTCCCAAATTTTCACAAACTCCCAAATAATATCTCTACTCAAAATATAATTATAGATAATTGAAATTGACATATTTTGCAAGCGTTCCGTTGTTGTAGTACAATAAATGTTTAGAAAAAGCCCTAAATTACTATGAATATGAAATCTTTTTTTATTTTTGTCTTGAAAGTTGTTTCTCAAGAAATTGTCGTCCTCCGATTACTTTTTATAGGTATAATGTTAATGGCTTAATACTTTATAGGTACACCAAATATTTGAATTACATCATTATTTATAAATTGATAGTTTTAATAAATATTTTTTTCTGTAAATTGATATGTTTTGGAAGCGTTCCGTTGTTGCACTACAATAAAGAACGTTTAGAAAAAGCCCTAAATTACTATGAATATGAAATCTTTTTTATTTTTGTCTTGAAATTTGTTTCTCAAGAAATTGTCGTCCTCCGATTACTTTTTATATGTATGATGTTTATAGGTGCACCAAATATTTGAATTACATCATTAATTATAAATTGAGATTTTTTAATTTTTAAATATTTTTTTCTTTAAATAAAAATATATAAAAGCTTGGCGATTGTTCAACCTATTATTCAATTTTGTTATATATATATATTATTATTATTACACCATTTATCCGGAGTAGTAATAAACAACTTATACAGTAGGAGTCCAAGGCCTAACTAACAATCTTATTATTATTATTATCCAAACCTTGATCCATAACGTCATAGCAGAAACTATTGAAGTATACCCGACTAATTTATTTCAAGAAGATGTCTTACTCAAGTAGCTGAGTGGTAAGTGGAAGATTTTACAAATCAATATATATATTTCACACATACCAGAACGTATTTTTCTAATTACGTCATATAACCTAAAAATTACGGTTTAAACACCAAAGAAGATGAAGCACCCAAAAACCAATAATACTAAGATTTATGATAAAAATTCAATCATGAAATTTGAATATAAACATTAGTTTCAAACACCATCGTTAGTTAAGGCTAATGGCAAGACAAAAAAGTAATAATGAAACTGAAGAATTTCACGAAAACCAAAGAAAACATACGAATTATGATCCCTAAACTCTAGCTTAGATGCTTTTAAAATTTGCCAAGAACTTCGAAATGTCTACATGCAGCTGAGATATGCATAAATTAAAAAGTGCAATTGAAGCTAGCCCTCGTGAACGTTTCAAGTATTACATACATACTCAAGACAACAACATCAGGTCATAGTTTGGCTGCCAAGCGACACAGACGAACGGAGCGTTACCAAAAGACAATTATATATATATAAAGACACACACACACACACATATATATATTATATATAACCTTAAGCCCACAAATATTGTTCACAGACAGAAACTTTGAGTTTTTAAAACCTCTACAACGTTGGAAATGGTTTAGCCAAGTTAGGGGTGAGAACTTATCGGGTACTTCGCATAAGGTCTTAAGTTTATACTTGTAAATTTACTCACCTATAAATATCTTTTGGCCAAGAATTACCGTTCATGGTAAAAAACACTTCCGGTGGTTATAAACCTCTACAACAAGCTCTACTTCGCTACTGTAAAAAAAAAAGAGAAGCATTATGTTGTCCGGCGACTAAAATGTCACCTTGTATTCGATATTAAATTTAAATATAGACTGAGTTCATTCTTTCATGCAACGCGACTTCAACATTTCTGAGAAGTCTTACTAAAAGAAATCACGTCTCTTTTTCTGAGAAACCTCCGATTTAATCTGCAGAGTGTAAGCCCCCCAGTAGCACAGCGGTATGTCTGCGGACTTACAACGCTAGAATCCGGGTTTCGATACCCGTGGTGGGCAGAGCACAGATAGCCCATTGTGTAGCTTTGTGCTTAATTACAAATAAACAAAGCAGAGTGTAAATCAATTCTATAGATTGAACGCTCATAACTATTATTTCATCATGCTTTGGATTTCTTAACTGTTAACTAGAGATAGCTTTGCCTTTATCATATTTTATAGATTGCACTGTTCATACTAGCTTTAATGAGTTAAATATTTTTAGTAATTCTGAGAAGTAATTATTTTGTCACGGACTGATGTTATTAATTGATATCTATTAATATTTCTTACATAGTAGACACAGTATAGTCACAAGTGTGGTGTGTCTTAATAAAGCACGTTTATTTAAAAGACGGAGCTAATTTAAAAGCAAGTGTTCTGAAACTGAAGGCAGATCATCTTTTATAATGATAATATAAATAAGCTTAAAAAATATTTGCGAGTTCAATTACATGTACAATTTATTTCATCCGCATAATTTCTATAGTGCTATTATATCACACCAAAGCTGAGAGAAGGCTTAACAAAAATCTATTTACTGTTGCTAACACGTGTGGGAAACTCGTCAAATATTTTCTTCGTTACATCATGTATTTAAACAATTTTACTTTTCTAAAAACACAAATTATGAATTGGTTTGAGAATGTTTTAAGGATGCCACTAATGATTAAATATAAACAGGATATTCTGTGTTTGGTATGTGTGTCACGTATAAAAATTTCAAATAGAAAAAAAACCGATTCATATTGTTACGTCTCTGGTCTTTAGTTAATTTTCCGTAAAAATTCTTTCCAAAGAAACTTTACCGATACAAGTCCCTTCTTAAATAAAACTGGTTTATTCTTTCTGAATACAACTTTGCATAACACTTAATTTCCACAGTCACGCTATAATAAACGCTATAATTCACAACGAACGACTCACGTGCTCGACTCAACAGTACGTCTCTATCTCTGTCTGCAGTTCAATTACATTCCATTGTTGCCGTCACTTCTTGGCGGCTTATATATACAAGAATACCGCATATCTAGTAATCTCTCGAGGCTTCAGGAAGGGACGTGAACGTTCGAGAATATGACGTGTTACTAGGGTCACGTGACTCCCCCCCCCCTGTCGTAACAATATGATAATCAGATTAATAGGAATAACTAAAGATTTGAATTTATAAATCAGATGAATATTTGTATGTAGTAAGTTTATGTTATTCGAATATATTTGAATATACGCACAATGATACAAGAAACAACAAAGATTATTACAAATGGTGATACACATAACAGTAACAGTTTCGCAAACTCACCAATAACATTGAGTCCTTTATCTGACCTGGAAATTCCTAGATATTTTCTCGAATATCCACGATGATCAGATCAATTCCAACTGATTGTAGATAGCGATATCCAAAGTCCTAAAATGTTTCCGTATTAAGCGAGAGTCGTAAAATATTTCCATAGAAATCACAAATGTCTAATTTAATTCCTCCGAAGTTGAATGGCCTGCAGTATTCGAAACCTGTGAACGTTTCTACTCACGTATTGAAAGTATCCAATTGATAAAGGTATAGCTTCCGATGTTGATAAACGTAATAACACTATGAAGTTAAACTTCAGTAGTATGTGATTTTTCACTGGTAGAACACCTGTTGCATCTGATAATTCTAGAGGCATATCAGGCATTCAAAGTTTTGTGTTATTTAATATTATCATACAACAATGGAGTAAACTTGGTTGTGATTGATAACACATCTGACTGGCTATTATCTACATCTACCCTACACCATAATTTGGCGCGAAAATGCCTTTGTCAATCAGGTCCTCTGGATAATTTCTATTTAATAAAACTATTTTAATTCATTTAATCTGAAACTTCTTTTCTAGTTATTATATTCTGGACCGCATAACAATTATAATATGTTTGCGAACATACAAATATCGATGATTCACACATTCTAGAATTTTCTACGCTCTTATGGAATAAACACGAAGTTCGAAATATAGATTCAATATAACCACAGCATAGGTTATGTAAGTTTCTAAATATAGATTTAACCTAAACAAACATCGGCATTAAAAAATGAGTACTTGACACTAAATCTGTCACACCTTCCTCCTTAGAACATCAAAAATTAGCGTTAGACAATTTTTAACTAAGCTATTTTGTGTATAGTGACAACAATACATTAAACACACTACACCAAAGAACTATACACCTACAATAATAATGACATTGTATACCACAAGCAACAGAAACATCTTTATACTCCTAATATTACATAGCACATGAAAAGGCATCAGCAGAAATGTTATCAACCCTTTTGACATGGATTATCTTCAACATGGATGTTCTTGCAACATAAAACTCCAGTTACAATCTGTTTTTACCCTTCATTCGGCTAAAAAACGTCAATGGGTTATGATCAGTGTAAATGACAATAGGTTGTTGTGTTGCAGATACATATACACTGAAATGTTCTAAAGCTAAAACTAGAGCTAATGTCTTCTTTTCCCCAGTAGAATAATTCTTTTCATGAGAATTGAACTTCTTAGAAAAATAACAAACAGAGTGTTCAATATCTTTGTCATCTGATTGTAATAAAATAGCACCAGCACCAAGATAACTGGCGTCAACAGCTAACACATGATAAGTACACACACACAAAAGATTTAAACTTTTCAACAGCAGATTGATATATTTTGGACCACTCGAACTTTTTATTTTTCTTCAATGGATTTGTTAATGGAATAGTGATGTCTGCAATTTTTTTTTACAAAACTTCCCGTAATAACCAACCATTCCTAAAAATCTCAAAATTTTCTTGTTAGAAGTTGTATAATTCACAATACATTCAACTTTAGCCTCTACATGGCCTACTACATGACCTAAGTAAATAACTTTAGCTTTACAAACATAACACAAAATTACAATAAGATTGGCTTTCTTGAGTTTGTCAGAAACATTACGTAATCTACACAAATGTTCTTCCCAGGTGTCAATGAAAATTCCAATATCACTAACATAAATTCTAACACCTGACGGAGACATTGATTCATCATTCGCTGAAAAGTGGCCTGAGAATTTTTCATCCCAAAAGGTATTACATTGTACTGATATAATCCATCAGGAGTAACAAAAGCAGAAATTTCTTTTGCCCTGTCAGTTAGTAGAACAGCCCAGTATCCCTTCAGCAGGTCACACTTTGTGATATATTTGGCTTTTCCAATTTTGTCAATACAATCTTCCATTCTTGGAGTAGATAGGAATCTCTCTTTGTCCAAACATTTACTTTGCAAAAGTCTGTATAGAATATAAAGAACCATCAGGTTTAGGAACAAGTACACCATGAGAAGACCAATCACTTTGACTGCACTCTATAATACCATTTTCCAACATATAAGATACTTATTTACACATTATATCAGCCTTGACTGGATTCTCACCATAAGAATGTTGTTTCACAGAAGCACCATCTACATTATGAACAGCTATGTTGGTTTGACTAGGAACATCAGGAAATGTACATTTGTATTCAAGCAATAAACTAACAAGTTGATTTTTTTTTTCAAGAGACAAGTGATGTTTTGAATCAAGATTGACCAGAACGTCAGAATTACTCAGTTTAATATTGCATTTATCTCTGATATTTTCAAACTTATGGGTGTCCGAATCAAAACAACTGTTATCAGTATCAGAAGAACACTCAAATAAGGCTCGGATATGATATGGCTTCAACATATTGACATGGCACAACTGGGTATCATTTCGACGATCGTGTATTTTGACGACATAATCCGTATTACTAACTTTCCAAACAACCTCATAGGGACCACGGCACCTAGCTTTAAGTGGATGTCTAATAGTGGGTAACAATACTAAAACCATGTCAACAGGACAGAACTTATGCTCTTCAGTCTCGTGGTCATAAATATTTTTCATGTTAACTTGGGCCGACTTCAATTCATAAGCATGTAAGAGCCCACACTGAAACTTAGAAATGTAATCCAATAAATGAATTCCTTTTGGGTCGTCCTCCAACCATTTTTCCTTCAACAACTTCAAAGGACGACACACTGAGTGATCAAGCACCAACTCAAACAGGCTAAACCCTAATAACTCCTGAAGTGACTCACGAACAGTAAACAATAATAAATTGACTCCATTCCAATCCTTCTCATTGTCAAGAGAGTGGGTGTGCATCATACATTTCAGGTAAGATGGAATCTCTCAAGAGCACCTTGCAATTCTGGATGATATGTGCTAGATTTGATCTGTTTAGCACCTAGCTGATAAACAACTTGTTGAAACATACCAGACATAAAATTCGATCCCTGATCGGACTGAATTTCATTAGGCAAGCCAACAAAAGTAAATAAATTAATCAAAGTCTTAGAACTTTTTGGGACTGAAATGTTCCTCAATGGAATAGCCTCAGGAAATGGAGTGATAGTCAACAAATACTGGTTCCCTGATCAAGTTTTTGGCAAAGACCCAACATAATCGATAAGCACATGACTGAAGTGTTCTTCAAAAGTTGGGATACGTTTCAAAGGAACAACAGGAATTTTCTAATTAGGTTTTCCTACCAACTGACAGGTATGACAAGTTTTATAAAACTGAGACACATCTTGCCTAATGTTCGGCCAAAAGAAATGTCTCATCATTTTGTCACATGTCTTATTGACACCTAAATGTCCTCACATGGGGAGTTCAATACTTCAGAACGATATGCCTTGGTAACAACGATTTGGTAAACCACAGACCAGTTCTCCAAAACTGGCACATCCGGTGGTCTCCACTTCCTCATAAGCACACCATTTGGTACTTTCCCTAATTCGTCCTCTGGGAGTGCATATTTAAACAGCGAATTGATCTCTGGATCCTTTTCTTGCTCAGTGGACAGTTGACTTCTGGCAAACGGAACTCATCAGGTGAATTGGATCTCTCATGTTCATCATTGTCACTCATCAAGGTATTGTCAGAAGGACGCTCATCAACAAAATCCTCGTCGGATCCAAAAAATATCTGAGACAAATCTATAATATCGTCCTCTGAGCACATGTTGATCATTTAGTTTTGGCTTACTTTTTTAGCCCGAGAAATAAATCTTTTAACAAAAACGATCGAGTCGCCTGAGTATCACGTAAAATACGAATGGGTTCGGGATTGGCAGTGTCATTTGTCAAAGACACAGAACCAACAAACACAAAAGGTCTAAATTCCTCCCTAACTACAGCACCCTTTATATCAGTGGGGAAAATGAACAACATCGGATGATATGGTGAAACTACATCCATATAAGAACACAAACGCACCAACTCTCCTTTTTTTCCCCTTTTTTAAAAGCCAACAATAGGACATAACATGACCAGGTTTTTTACAAAAATGGCAGTGGCCCTGATAGTTTTGATAGATTAGACAAAGTTTTACCCTACTATCAGAAGATTTCAAACTACAAGAGTTTGATTTTTTTAGAAGAATCACCAACTTAAGTGGATTGAACAAATACTGTTTTTTTTTCTGTTATGGCGGAATTTTCTTTTTATGAAAAGTGTTTTTATGTGTTAAAATGTAATCATCAAAAAGAGTAGCTGCGTCCTGTAGTGTTTCAACTTTATTTTCATTCCAGTAAGTTTTTGAGATCCTCACATGCACAATGCATAAATTCCTCAATTGTCTCAATTTATTGAAACTGTCGCCAATGAGCATAGAATTACACCATCGATTAAAATAAACTTCTTTTTCGTGGGCAAATTCCATACAGTTTATCTTGGTTGCGATAACCTCGAAATTTTTGGCAATAAGCCTCTGATACTAACTCATGTGCTTTGAGAATAGCTGCTTTAACTTTATCATAATTTTTACAATCTTCTAGAGAGAGAGAGCAGAATAAGCTTGTTGTGCTTTATCAGTTAAAACACTTTGCAATAATAATGACCACTTTTCGGTGGGCCATTCCATGGTTTGAGCAACTTTCTTAAAATGTTGAAAATATTTATCACATTCATTTTCATTGAATGGTGGGACTTTAACATGTCAATTAAATTCAAAGTTGTCATTTTGTCTTAGTAGATTGAGTTGAGTCTAATTTCCATTTCTTTCAGCTTAATTTCTGTTTCGGCTTCAATGCGAGCTTACTCGATTAATATTTTTCATTTTCGGCCTGGAGACGCGCTTGTTCTTTCTCCTTTTTTCTGTCGGCGTCGATACGAGCTCGTTCAAGCTCGATTTCTTTGAGTTTTAGCTGAATCTCTAAATTATTTTTACCACTCAACTCCGATTGGCGAGTTGGGACACTAGAATATTCCTCTAACACCATCATAGGCAACAAATCATTATCCACTAATATTTCAATAATAAGTTTTTAGTTAATTGTTTCTCATTGATCTTTTAACTTCTAATTCTAAAACTTTGGCGAGTTCGAGCAATTCACTTTTGTTGTAGTGTTCTAGTTGCGGCCAAGAAAAGTTCGGCGTGAAGTTAGCAAGACATC